AGTGGGCTGTTGCTCTCTGCCCTGGATCTTTTCTTATAAGGGACCCTCCTGCTGCGGCATTGATTGTAGCCCTGGTGGTACTGATAGGCCACTGTAAAAGATTTACACCTGTCTCCATGTCAGGAAATCATGATGAGGACATCTTCTCAAAAGCTCTCCAAACCGCTCCCATGCCTCAAACAAGGATTTTGCTTCATATTGTTGGAAGTAACATATCTCCGTCATGAGTTTTGAGGACCTTGATGGAGGAAAGTATTTTCTCAAAAATTGTTGAGTGAGGTCCTCCCAAGTTGTGATGGAGTTGGCTGGGAGTGAGGCGAACCAAGCATTCACTTTTTCAGATACCAAGAACGGGAAAAGACAGAGTCAAATAGCAACTTTGGAGACTCCATTGTATTTGATGGTATCCGTCAATCTGAAGAATTTTGTCAGATGGAGATTGGGGTCTTTGTTAGACATGCCTCCAAACTGTATGGAGTTTTGGACCATAGTTATGAGTGCTGGTTTAAGTTCAAAATTGTTGGCCTCCACATTAGGCGTCGCGATGCTTCTAGGGGTGCCTCTAGCAGTAGATGTCATATAATCATGAATTGATCTTCTTCCCTTTGCCATTTTATTTAAAAAAAGAGAACTTATCTTGGCACTTTATTTTTTATGAAATAAAAAAAAAATTTTGTTTTTTTATTTTTTATAAGGAAAATATGCTTGAAATTGCTCTTAGTTTAAAACAATTTTAAAAATATTTTGAATCTAAAAATAAATTAAAAAAAAATTGGACTTGACGACTTAGGTTCCCGCTCCTACATATCCTTCATGTGCAACAGAAGAATTAAAGCTACCATGTAGTTCGTTTTTGAAAATTGAGTTTTGGATAAGTTGTAAAAGTTGCAAGGATTTTTTTTGGAAAACTTGATTTTTTCTTTATTATTTTTTTTAGTGGAACTTTTTTGGAATTGGATTTTAAGGTAAGTTTCAAAGATTTTCTTCCCTTCTTCTTTTTTTTTGAAAAAACTTAAATTTTCTTTATTATTTTTTAAGTAAATCTACTCTGCACAGGATTCAAGTTAGCACACGGCTACTCAATAAACCCTTACAAACCAAGAAACTTTGAAGGTGAATCCTCCACTTTATCAAAATCGCTTGATCGTTGTGTAGATTCAAAAGACTACTCTTTTTTTTTTAGATAACGAAAAATTTAATATAGGATTTTTGCAAGCAAAAAAGGAATAAATGAGAGACATACAAAATAAATAAACAAATATAAGAGCAAACAAAAATGATGAAGAAATAACTCTTATTTGATATAAGAATTAAGTTTTTTTTAGGTTAAGATTTGCAAAGAAATTAGGGATTTTAGAATTTATGAAAAGAAAGAGTTTTTTAAATTTAAAAAAATAAATTTTTAAAATTTAAAATTGTTAGGGTTAAAAAATAGTTTGTTTTAGAGCTTGCAAAAAAAAAATCGAATGATTTTAGGATTAGAAAAATAAATATTATTTTGAGGGTTTGTGAAAAAAATTTAGAGTTAGAAAAAATTAATTTTTTTTAGGATTTGCAAAAAACGAAATACTTGGGGTTAGAAAAAGAGAAATTTTCATGGATTTAGATTTTATTTTTTAGGGTTTGACATAGGGAAAAAAATTAGGGTTAGAAAAATGATTAAGATTTATAATTTTTTTTTTAAAAAAGGGAATTTTATTAAATTTTTTCTTTTTATTTATTTATTTGTTTATTTATTACATTATAGCTTTCTCTAATCCCATTTTCTCCTTTTGCTCTTTTTTCCATGCTCTCTCTAGAACTCTCTCTCAAAGAAGTTTCAATTCTCTCTTTTTTTTTTCTCTCTCAAAGAGGTCTCGATTATCTCTTTTTTGTTTTCGTTGTCAAAAGTCGTCTCCCTCTCTAAAGGTCTAAGTTTCTTATTTATAGACATTTTCTAAAACTCTAGATCCCAATTATTTATACACACACACACACACACACACACACACACACACATATATATATATATATATATATATTAATAAAGACTCCCTTATTTTCTAAGGACTAGTAATCAATTTTTTTTCTTTCTCATTCATTCTCCTAAAAATCTACAGACTACTTTAACCATTTCTAAATCTGAAATCTGAATTTGAATTTTAAATTAGTTTTTTTTTCTTAACCTCCTACAAAATCGTATCATTATGATTAATTTTTAATTTTAAAATTTATTTTTGAAAAGGACTGGGATAAAATTGGGTATTCACACATAATGATAAACATATAAATAATATAAGCATATATTTTTTAAGAAAAGCAAAAAAAAAAAAAATATAGAATGACCTTCCACTCTTACCATCGCATCTCCTTGACATCATTCAAGATGTCAATCCAAGTGAGTCATAAGTGATACATACTATGTATAACCATTGTGATCTAATGGTGACCGTCAATAAATGAATCATTGTTATTACATAGATGAAGTAAATTAAAAATAATTAAAATATTTTAGATATCATACATAATACAAAATTATAATGTTATAAAAAAAACATGTTTAAACGTATCTTTACCATCTACCAAATTTGGAGGAACAATCAACCATCAGGCCCAAGTGGCCTATCGTTTGGGTTAAGAGGCCTCTCATCCAAGTCTCATGTATGTGACCCTCTTGAGGAAGTAGGAGTTTGATGAGATATGGAGACAGCAAAAGTAAGAGTGAGTATTACTGTAAAAGGAAGGATGGTGGCAAGAGCAAAGGTAAAGATAGTGATAGGAGAGGTGGTTGAAGGGATAGTGGTGAAAGAGATGGAACTTGTAGGTAAATTGAACTTACGAGGTCAATTTTTTTTTACCAACTATATGAAACAATTAAATAGTCCTATAAGTCATTACTTCTTTCTTAAACTCTAATCATTTAGACATGCATAGAACACACACAAAAACTTTTTTTTTTTTTTTGTATTGAAGACTCTCTTATTCTTTTACATTTTTTTTTCTTTTTGATATAGGGTTGCTTTGGATCTTCTCTTATCAAAGGACTTCATTTTTTTACTATTCTTTTGTTTGTTCAATTTGTGAGGCTTAATTTGTTGCGAGAACAAGTTATGTAAGTTTTTAGTAAGAAACAAATTAACTTTTATCCTCATTTAATCATCAGTGTTATTTATTTCATTCAACTTTGCTTTTAATTATGTACTTATCTTTTAGAATGAAATTGTCAAAATTGTAGTAATCTAATTAGATTGACATTTCTATTCTAAGCATTTATAAGGCTAAAAATTGAAGACTCACTATTAAAATTAATAAATTTATTTCAATTATTTAAATTAAATATTCGATGATAATATAAATTGTGAAACAATTCACATCATCTTTAAAATCGATTAATTTAACTCCACAACATGCATCCTATAATATTTAAAAAAACAAATAATATTCTTACAACAAACGCTGCAAACAGGTAAGGAAAAAACCTCTCCGAGAGGCTTACCGAAAGGCACATAACAAAACGTTGCATTTTTATGTTTTAGCATTTTAGTTGAAATACGGTTATTTTGAACTTTATTATTTTATAATAATGTGAAGACTATTGAAGTGAGTTTAAGACCCCTTTCAGCACTATTAAGGTTGGGGCGGTGGCGTGTGTGACAATGATAAGGATCATATCACTGGATAACCATATCTGAACGGGACCTTTCTGTTTGTCTTTGTTTACTTTATCGCTCATCACTTTCTATTTTCTTAGCTTTTTCTTCTTTGAAACTTTGGTTGAGATGGCGAAGAGGAGCGTCTGCAAATGTGGACTCCACATTCTGCCGACCACAACGCTCTGTCTTTTCCCTGCCTTGCGGGCATTCTTTATGTGCCATTGCTTTTCAACGTACGTGTTTTTCTTAATAAATTACTTTTTTAATAAAACCATTCAAAATTACTTAAAATTAACAATTTAAATTTAAATTGATACGAAAGAATGGTTGAAAAATGTATCACCCTATATTTCCTAGTTATTTACTCCTATAATTTTCTTATTCAATATTTCAAATCAGAACGCAGAAGGATTTTGATCATTGTAATTTTATGATAATTTTTTAAGAAAATATATAATAAAGAAAAATATAATTTGATGAATCAAAATTATTTGGTTTGAGGAGCAAATAGGATAATCATTACACCTTCAACTTTTCTACGGCGTAAAAATTTTCAAAACGAGGGATTACAATATTTAACTAATATGTTACTGCATGTCCAAATAATTTATGCACACTTTTTTCTTTATTGTTTTAGAAAAAGAGATAAAATAAGTGCAATAAATATGATGTAGAAGTGTATAAATATGATTAACAGTTTTAAGGAGTTTGGAAAGTCACGTTATATAATAGCTACTAATGCATAGATTTGTCGGTGGCTTAAAGATATTATGGATCAAGGATATTTTGAAGCATCTAATAATACTAACTAATTATTTTTTTACTATATAAATATTATTAAAATTTTAATAAAAATGAATGATATATGATATGTTATTTTTTAATTATTTTTTTATGAAATATATTTTTAATTGTTGATAATAATATATTATATTAAATAAGATTACATTTAAAAATAATACTTTTAAAAATTAAAAATAAATTATAATAAAAATTCAATTTTAATTAAAAAATTTAAATATCAAATATAAAAAATCACATGACATAATGATAAGATAGTAATTCTTAAAAATGTTACCATTTAAAAATGACAACTCTTATTTAATATATAAGGGTGCGTAATATTCGTAACAATTTTTTAATTTTAACCTTTAAATTTTAGATTAAGATTTAAAAATAACAATTCTTTTATTAATAAAAGTATTTTTATGGTTTATATTTTTTTGTAATAAGATTTTCTTTTAAATAAAATTTTACTAGTAATAATAATAATAATAATATTTAATTATACTTTCTAGTTTAAGTTACGTGTGAATTTACTCCTTTAAGTTTTTTTTCTTAGTTAAGTCTTTTTAATTTTGAGATTATACAAATTTGGTCTTCAGTCAATTCTTTTCTACCTAAAACCTCAACTCTTTATTTTATATCTAAATTTTTGTGTGGAGAGATTTAAAATGAAATTAGAACATAAAGTGATTCTACAAGTTCAATCATAAAAAGATAATGAATAATTCATAAATCATTTCAAAAGAATAGAAGGTACGAGGATTAGGATTTGAATAGGAAAAAAATAAATTTTGTTGAATTTTTGTTAAATGTGATATTTTAGTTAAACCTAATAATAGTAAAAGTATAAAAGTTTGCTATCTAATAAACTTTATAAAGAAATTGAAATCACAATCACCCCAAAATTCAAATTATGTGCGGTTTATTCTTATGTAGTTGACATTAAGTTAAACATTATTGAAACCAAATCTTAATTGTTGAGAAAAATATGCATACATTGATGACGCCAAGAACTGCATTTTATGAACATTGAAGCTTTCACCATCTACTAATCAATTTTATGAAGGTAACTGATCTACCAACTGCCAACTAGTTTCTCCCAATTGAAAGATGAACTCTTCCCTACACCAACTAATAACTGCTACCTGAGGGAATATCCTTTATTTAGAGCTTTCCATCGATTCAATTTAATATGTTAGATACCATTTTCACAAGAGTTATTGTAATTCTGTTTATGAAGCAGCTTTATGGAGCAAATGATTGGAAAGCAGAAACCATTATAGTTGTCCCTTTAACCAAATGGGTTTCCTTAATAGAGCCAAATTCACAGTGATCAAAAGTATGCCAAAGCAAGTGCATAAGGCATCTTGTCCTCATCTATTCACTTGCACAAGGGCCACAAGGCATTGCTTATCCAAAACCAATAGAGGGGTAGTTTAGTCATTTCCTGGGGAATAAAATCAGCAATTTTAAGAATTAAAATTTGAATCAAGTCATGAAACACACCCATATTTCAAAAGTACTAAAACTTCATGTTAGAAAATGCTCAAGAACAAAGGGCCCCAAAACCACCTGTTAGTGCTAGTCAGCGTCAAACACTTATCTATGCCTGTTTCAAATTTCATCAGCTGCCGTAGCCAAACCACACTTAAGAATAAACAAAAAGAAAAACCCACATCAAACCAAACCAAACCAAGAGGGGAGAATCTCTCTGGTTGTTTGGGTTTCAAGCCTTCCTTCCTCCTTTCTTTCCTTCGTCAACTTGATCACAGGAAAAACAAAAACCCTGTATGAACTTCCTCACAAGGAAAAGAAAACCACAACAACGTTTCTTTTCTTCCGGTGCTTGAACTCCACAAAGCCAAGGAAGGAAACATAAAAACCAATATCCCTTATTCCAACTTGTTAAGCCTGTGGTTCCTTGGAATATGGTTCAAAGAAAAGTGCCTAGCAAGCTTGGTATCGAAGCAGAACATGTTAAATCAGATAAGCACTTGGCAAACCTGAAGCTATCTTCATCTCAGCACCAAGATGGCAGAAGTAGAGGAGCTGATATGAAGAAGAAAATGAAGAAGTCAAGGCCAATCAAGCTTTCTGATCTTGAGTCTCTTCAGTCATCCTCACCTTCAAGGAGAAGCTTATCTCAACCAGGAAAGCCACCACCTCTTCATGTTCCATCAGCATCACCCCAGAAGCAGCAACCTTTGTTCAGAACAACAGATGGTTCACCCAATTACATGAAGCCCACAAGTAGTTCACATGCAAAAAAGGAGCTTTTCCCTGTTAGCCACAGGAACACTCAATCAGGTTCTGATTTTAAGAATCCTGCTAGAAAATTTTCCAGTGATTCAAAAGCTGCCTGTGTTAAAAAACTTGCAAAAACATTGACGAGGTCAACTAGTTTAAGTTTGGTGAGAACATTGACAAAAACTACTAGTTTCAAGGCCTCCAGAGCTTGTCCTAGAAAATCCACCAGAGCTTCTCTGTGTACACCACAGAGAGCCACTTGTTCTTCAACTTTGAAGGACTCAAAGTTCCCTGCATACCTCATGCTTAACCCTGAGGGAACTGAGTCTGAGGGAACTTCAGTCATGAAGGTTTGCCCTTACACATACTGTTCCCTCAATGGTCATCATCATGCTGATTCGCCACCACTGAAGAGCTTCATGTCATCAAGGAGACGCCTTTTGAAGATGCAGAAGCGCACGAAGCTTCAAGCTACGAGCCCTCGGAGTCTAATGGTTCCTCTTGAGACAGAGAAGGAGGACTCTGATGTTGAGCAGAATGTCTTTGATGCAAAAGCTCCATCTGATGAAATTGGCTGTGATGTCTTCATTGAAATCTATGCTAATGAAAGGGTTTCAAAACCAACAGCAGCAGAAGGAATGGGGAAAGTAGATTTTCTCAAAGAGATTGAGGATCAAGAAGATCTCAAGTCTACAATTGAGGATAATGACATAGCAACAAATGAAGAGGGTGTCACGCGAGATATTACTCTAAGCTTTGAAACTGAGATTGATCTTGAGGACGATATAAAAAAATCCTTTGATGACGTTGAAACTAAAGGAGACACCAAAGGGAGCTTTTCTCTCCAAGAACAAAATACAGAAGAGGCAGATGAAGATCACCAACCTATTCTCTTGTCTCATGAAGAAATTAGCATGGGAAGCTACTGCAGTGATGACGAACAACACATGGGGGACGTTGACATGGATGATTCTGATTCCAAATCCTATGATATGGAGTGGGAGAAGGAGAGAGTATGCAAATTTGAACATGAGGAGGATGCTGATTCTTCTGTGTATACAGCGGAGGACAATGACTCAAGTGTTGAGTTCTCATCCGAGAGTTCTCATGATATGTCAGTGACATGGTTAGATGATATTCTTATAAACTATTATGAGCACTTTCTGGTTGATGAAACCAATTCAGAAGAAAGCACATATTTTGAAGAACAACCTGATGGCATTGTTTCTGTCCCGGAAGACCCAGTTGGAATCACTGAGACTGAAGAACTTGGGTACTCTTCCACAGGTATTATGGGTTGTGACCAATCTTCCGTAACAGATGAAATACAAATGGATGATGAGACTATTGACAGTAGCCAGTGTCAAAAGATGTGTGAAATTTGCAAGATTGATGAGGCAAATGAAGATGGATACTTAAGTAGCATAGAGAACGAGAACAAGGATGAGAGCAACAAAGAGGAGAACCAAATTCACTTCCTTGATGTGTCTGAAGAAAGTAACATGGCAGATCATGAGCAGGAAATGCTGAAAGAAGATCAAAGCAAAGCCAAAAGGCTCCAAAGCACAAGTTGCATAGGTGGAGAAGAACAAAACACAAGCAGGAAATGCAAAGTTGCTATTAGAAGGAAAAGGAATGTTGAAGATGATGATGAAATGAGAAAGTTCAACCCAAAAGAGCCAAATTTCCTGCCCTTGGTTCCTGAGCCAGAACCAGAAAAGGTTGACCTGAGGCATCAAATGATGGATGAGAGAAAGAATGGTGAGCAATGGATGCTTGATTGTGCACTGAGAGAAGTTGTCACCAAACTTGCTCCAGCTAGGAAGAAGAAGGTGGCACTACTAGTTGAAGCTTTTGAGACGGTGATGCCAGTACCCAAATGTGAAACCCAAGTGAGAAACGATGATTCATTTGCTCATGCAGGAAGAATTCAAGCTTGTAGCTGATACATGCTGCTGAGGTAAAAATTCAACCGATAAACTTTTCTCATTCTATTTAAGTTTCTCGTTCATCGATCATTCACTCTTGCCTCAGTCTTTCATCATTTTAAAAGTTTACACGGAAGCTTATTAGAACATTAAGATTTCCTGTGTGTTTATTTGGCATGAAATAGCTTATATTGTTTTGGGGGCGGACTCTGGTTAGGGGAGCAAGAAATATAGACAATTTGGAAGAACAGTTAAATAGTTAGTTATGCATTTGCATTTTATGTTTGGAAAGTAAATTACAAAAACTTGTACAATATTTATTTTATAAACTCTCATCATTTATAACAGTGATCAATTCTATGTGCTACTTTAGGAATAATATATTTCATTCACATAATTTCTTTTCAATTTGAAAGATTTCATTATATTAGTTTGATATCTGTACGCATGATTAAAAGAATGGTTTTATTATGATTAGTACCTGATGTCTCAAAGATAACAAACAATTTCATTCTGAAAGAAAAGCTATTAACATCTTAAAATAACATAATTATCCCTAAAATAACAAATAAAAACATGATATATTGTCTGAATTAAAACCTAAACTTGTCACTATTAAAAATAATAAATTATGCCACGACTATATGCATGGAGCAACGTAATGGGTATTTCACTCCATTGATTAAGTTATTAGGCATAAAAAGTTATGATTGAGACTCACCTAACAAATATTACTCTTTGTTCTTTTTTCACTTTTTGGTTAGTCCACTGGTAATGGTAAACCAAGTTGAAGTGTTATCATATGTATGGGAGCATAACCAATCTCCAGGAGGCAATGAGGATGCCCATTACAACAAGTAATTTATTGGGCAGCTTCAAGGACTTGTAATCTTTAAATGCTGATTGAAGCACCAGAAGGGGAGTTTATGGTTCTTATTTAGCTGTATGGGTTTGCTTTAGTGAACTTTAGCTATGTGTTTACTTTGTTATGTTTGTATTTGACGCACTAATATATTTGTGCTATAAAGATTATCCATGTCTACGGAATCCGGATTCTGTTAAATCACTATCCTTGTTTGTACGATGATGAGTAAACATAACTATTATTTATCATATAATGTTCTTTTTCCTTTTATCATCAGAAATTATAAAAAGACAAATACTGTCCAGTGTCTTTTAAGGCATAAATTAACAAATTAAACATTAATTAGTAAGAATTTTATAAAAATTTTATCATATAATTTTGTGCATTTGACAACTACAGCGATCAATGGTAGAGTGTTAAATGATTAATCTAATATAATAAGAAAAACTTTGCGAGATTATGTAGTAATTAAAGTAAGATTACATGACAAGCGGGAAAAAATATCGATTTTTAGTTATTTAGATTTTTATTAATATTTATAGAGTTTGGAGTTTGTTGGGATGTTGTAACGCCAACCATAGGTGTTGGAGTACTTATAAGTTTTCATAGAGCCTTTTTTATATAATTCGAATGTTGCAACACCTAATTCCAAGCTTGGAACACGTAGAACTTTGGTGGCAACATGAACTCAGTGTCAGAATGCTTAAGGGTTAGAAACCAGATGTCCCCTTTTGTGAAGCCAGCATTAGAATACCTAAAGGTCTTCTATATTGTAAGTGAGCGTTGGAATGCTTATGGTAAAATTCTCAACTTTGAACTTTGTATAATTTGAACTTCAATGGCTTGAATGTTTAGTCAATTGGCTCTAAAATTAATAAAATAACAATAATTAGCATAATTCTCACATAATTTAAGTTAAAACATGTAAATATTCAATAACTTCATAAAAATTATAGCTATTATTATTTTATGAATTTAGTTCAGAAATGTTCCCAATTATATTTAAATAGCCTCTAATAAGTGTTATATATATACTAAAAAATAACTTAGTTGTAAGTTTATCAAGCCTCGTTAAACTTTCTATATACTCATAAATATTGTATTTTTATATAGAAAATAAAAAAGACTTCGAATATTTTTATACAATAAAATTCAAGTATGTTAGTCTCTTACATGGATGTGTCTTTAGTAAATTGTCCAACGATTATAAGTTTACATTAGACACATTTACATATCTATTAGACGGAATAAACTACATTTCTAAAAAAATTTCTAATACAATTAAGTCCTTTATTATGCCAAAAGTGCTTTTTTGTTATTTTTTATTTTGTCATATTGCTATTTTGGTGTAAGGCATAATGAATGGATATAAAATACATGTATATTAGATTTTTAAATAATAACAACAAATTTTAATTCATATATCATTTTTGAAATTTAATAAAAAAATATTTTTTATTCCTCCAAATTATTATTTTGATTTTGGTTCTTATATTTTAACCAATTATTGTTTTAAGTTCTTCTACATACAATCCAAACTTACATTTAATATATTTTAGTGTACCAAATTAATAATAGGAACTAAAAATAAAAAGTTATAAAAAGATAAACTAAAACAAAAAAAATTCACAAAAATGTGACGATTAAAAATATATTTAAACCTATTTTTTATTAAAAAAATAATAATACAAAGTTATATTATTATAGAACTTCCGATTAGAAGAAATTTAAGCAATACATTCTTCTATAAGTTTATAAAACTGATTAATATTACATATTGCAAATATTTAATCATAAAAAAAAACAATATTTTTTCGTTACCAGGGAAAAAAACTAACAAGTTACAGTACTATTCCCGGAACATGTGTTATTAAATGTGATATTAATCACTTCAAAAATATTTATTAACCATGTTTGGAAAGAAAAATCAACTGCATATTACGATTGGATCCTTTTCAAGGTAATTACAACCTGCATTTCAATTTTCACGTCACAACTACGTATATTATCTATTTATTTCACAGGATAAAACGGTGGATTCAATACGAATTTTGCTTCTTTAAAGTATGTGAAAAATCTATAATTAAACTATACAAAAATTAAAGATTTTATCCTATAATCGAGTTAAATTATGATATTTGTGTTATATATAATTAAGCAATTGATTAATATTTATCTGTCTCGATCACAAATTTTAGGTCTTAAAAGTGGGGGTTTAAAGTGTATTTGGTAAGATATATGAATGAAATTTTAGTTTATTTTGACTAATTTAAAGTTTGTTTAATCAAAGTAGACCTTATTTAATATAGGAGCTTATTTGAGTAGTTTATAGAAAATTTTAAAATGTTACTTTATATAACAATATTTGAACTTCCAAATTCTTAATTTATTTTCTCTTTTTATTCTCACTATCTTATTTTATTTTTAATTTTACAAATCCTTAGACTCATACTCACACTATTCCTATCTCACATTCTTTTTATTTTTTCTATCATAAAAAATTATAAAAATTGTAAAATAAATAAATTATTATGAAAATATGTGACCTATTGATGGAAATTAGAATTCGTGTTAAAATCTATATGCAATTAATTTATACTTGTATTTTTTCATGAAAATAGATATTTAATAAAAAAAAATTATTAGTTTTATAAATATTGAATTTGAAATGAATGAATTATAAATTTTGCAATGTGTAACATATAAGTTGAAAATTCTAAAATGATTTAGTCTATAATAATGAATCTTTTTTATATAAAATGATTTTGTATAATGCTGAACATATGCTTTGTAATTTGATCTATTAACTATAATTTGAATATGTTGTTGAAATGATTGTGAACTAATTATATAATAAGATGGTTGAATAACACTAGCTATGTATAAACGTAAAGCAAAAAGTAATATGTTAAGTTAGTATTAGTAGAGATAGTATAGCATTCAAGTTATGACATAAAACTAAGTCTAACTAACTTATATTACGGGCATGAAAATCATGTTAAACTATCTTTGACTAAAACTCAAGCATCTCATGATTAGTTTAAGTATGAATTACTAGAAGTGACTGTTATTGTTGTAATAAATTATAGTCTAAATAAGGGATAATATACAAAGTTCTTTCATTTATGTGTTAATGGGAGGCGGCGACGAAATAATATACATGCACGCCAAATTGGAGAGAGATATGTCGAAGAGGTTAATGAGATTAAAACAGGTGTGGTGTCCTATTTTGCGGCTCATTTTAGTAGTAGAAGTTGGCTTCGACCTACTATTGATATTAACAATTTACCAAGAGTCTCTGTTCTACAGAATGAGGAGCTTGTTAATGCTTTTTCGGAGGAGGAAGTGGGAAAGATGATTTTGGAGTGTGAGGGTGATAAAAGTCCAGGGCCTGATGGTTTCAATTTTGTGTTCCTTAAGAGGTTTTGGGGAGTGATCAAGGAAGAAGTGATGGGTATGCTTACTGAATTTTGTAGAAATGGGAAGCTACCTAAGTCTTTATTATCTTATTTTGTAGCACTTGTGCCAAAAGTGTCTTGCCCACAACAGATATCTGATTTTCGGCCTATCTCATTATTAGGTTGTCTTTATAAGATTGTTTCCAAGCTTTTGGCAAATAGGTTGAAAGGAGTTTTGAATTCAATAATTTCAGAAGAACAATCAGCCTTTATCCCGGGAAGGAACATGTTAGATAGTGTACTTGTGGCTAATGAAGCAGTTGATTATGTACGGAGGTATAATAAGAGGTGTTTTGTGTTAAAGCTTAATTATGAGAAGGCGTATGATTCGCTAGAGTGGGGATATCTTTTGTTTATGTTACGTAGCTTTGGATTTTCAGACAAATGGGTCAGTTGGATGGAAGCTTGTGTGTGTGGGGGAAGCCTATCAGCTTTGATTAATGGTTGTCCTACATTGGAGGTTCATATTGAGCGGGGCCTAAAACAGGGGGATCCTCTTGCCCCTTTTCTTTTTCTTGTGGCAGCGGAAGGGTTAGGAGTTCTTATGCGGAAGGCAGTGACTTGTGGGTTGTTCTCTAGTGTGACAATTGGGGAAGAGGGACCAGATATTTCTTTGTTACAGTTTGCGGATGACACATTGATTATGGGAGAGGCTTCGGTACAGAATTTGTGGACTTTGAAAGCAGTATTGCGTAGCTTTGAATTAATATCAGGTATGAAAATTAACTTCCATAAATCTTTTGTATTGGGGATTAACACTGGTGATGACTTTGAAAACTTGGCTGCGGAGTTCCTACATTGTAAGATTGGTAGTTTCCCATTAAAGTATCTCGGGTTACAGTTAGGTGTTAACCCGAGAAAGCCTAGTGCATGGAAGGGTGTGTTAGAGGCTCTTAAAAAGCGGTTAGCATCATGGAAGCATAGGTATTTATCGATTGGAGGTAGGGTGACTTTGATTAATGTCGTTCTTAATTCTATGTCATTGCACTCGTTATCCTTTTTTAAGGTGCCGAAGTCGGTAATAAAGGAAATTGTCACTATCCAATGGAATTTTTTATGGAAGGGTGTTAAGGATGGATCTAAAATCCCCTGGGTGAAATGGAAAACTGTATGTAGATCGCGGAAGAATGGTGGCTTGGGCATTAGGAATGTGCAGTGGTTTAATTGGGCGCTTCTTGGTAAATGGTTGTGGCGAGGTGTTAACTGTTCTAGTTCATTGTGGGTGCGGGTGTTGGAATCTAGATATGGAAGATTAGCTTCTTCTCTTCAGCGTTCATCAGTTCACAACAGATGTTCTTTGTGGTGGCGTGATTTGCTGGAGGTTATTCATCAAGGGAATTCATGGCTGGATGAGAAGTTTGATAGAAGTGTAGGTGCAGGTTTACAAACTCTTTTTTGGAGAGATAAGTGGGTAGGAGGGGTGCGATTGTGTGAAGCATTTCTGTGATTATTTGCAGTGGCGAGAAATGCTGAATCACGTGTATTGGAGAATGGTTTTCATGATGACACTAAATGGGTTTGGAATGTTAGTTGGTGAAGAGGACTCTTTCAACATGAGATCTCAAGCTTTAATCTTTTGTTGGAGCTTGTGGATGGAGTTTCTATTAAGTTACTACAAGAAGATAAATGGGTATGGAGGGCAGATTCTTCAGGTTGTTATTCAGTGCAATCTGCGTATTCATGACTATTTAAACTTTTTGGTGGTCCTAATAGTGTAGATCAGTGTACGGCAGATGCCTTGCAAAGGCTATGGAGAGGGAAGGTCCCTCTTAAGTGTCTGGTTTTTTCTTGGCAATTGTTGTTGAATGCACTTCCTTGTAAAGGTTTATTGATTGACCGTGGTGTTCAAATTGATGATATAACTTGTTGTTTCTGTCATGGTTTGGAGGAACTTCCAACTCATTTATTTTTAACGTGCTCAGTTTCATCTCAAATTTGGTACTTTACTGCGCGTTGGCTTAGATTCTCACTGGTTTTGCCTTCAGATTTATCGACTCACTTGCTTTCTTGGGTTGATGTTGGCTGTAGTAAAAGAGAAGGAATATGCTTATTAATTATTTGGGTAAGTACAGTGTGGTCTTTGTGGTTGCATAGAAATAGAATTATATTTTCCAATGGTGTTTTGGATGAGAGGGAAGTCCTAGATTCTATTATTCTGAGATCCTGGAAATGGTTATCACTTGTTAGTAAGGGAGAAGCTATTATGTTAGCTGAATGGTATTTGAACCCACGAAATTGCATCTGTTTTAATTTTGCATAAGTATATTTTTGCTTTTTATTTCTCTGAGTTAGTAATTTTTTGTGTATATGGGTTTTGAGTTCCCCTTGAACTCTTTTTAATAAGATTTGTTTTGCCTATCAAAAAAAAAAAACATTATTTGAACTATGGACACAAAATTTTTAATTGTTCAACGATAAAATTAAAGAATAAATAATTAATTACTTCATAAAAAATACATAATTAATAGAAATATGTGAAGAACTCTTAATATTTTATATTTGTTTTGTTATTATATTTATTAGTATAGTGTATTTTCCTTATGAAATAGATTATGAGTGATTTATAATCACTCTTTCTGTGTTTTTGTATTCTTTTGTTAATATTATGAGTGCTGAATGAATTTTGGAGTCTTTAGCACCACAGTGTTTAGTTTTTTTGAATGGGAGCTGGCACTGGGGTTTTAATACTGTGAACCAAGTGATTATTTTTACAAGAAGTTATTTACACCATAAGCATTATTGATAACTCTTTAATTGCTCCTTTTATAATAGCTTATGTTGTTGAGCTAAAGTCGATTTTCCTATGTACCGTGTGATGATTTATTTGGAGAATCAATAATGACCCTTCTCCTAGTGCACCAAAACTTTAGGAATCATATTGCTTATGGAGCAACTTGGTGATGGATGCGATTTTATGATATTGTTATCATATTATGTATGTATGAGCCTGAGGCTATCATCTAGACCTGCTTATTTTCTTTTTATAATGTATTATAGTTAAATAATTAGAAAGGAATTAGGATGGTGTTGTAATAATATATAATGCACTCTATTATGTTTTGAAACTACTTTTAATTTCATGTGATTATGTCATATATAATATGAGTTATTAGATAATTGGTAATCTTACATGTGATTAGTAGTTAGATTCTTAGATTATGTCATAAAATTTTATTTAATTAAGTATGTAGTTTGATAGACAATAGAATCAATCTATTATTATTAATAATAGGAATGTCTCCCAACTCCACCCATTCACCCTTCGTTCCTTCAGAAACTTTAATCTGATAAGTTGCTAAAATTCTCATGAGACTCACTAATCTAAATTTATCAGTTCAGATGGAAGTATAGATTCTTCTATTCCTTTTCTTGCTGCAAATATCACATTATTGCAAAAATTATCAATAGATTTGCCCATTCTTTTAATGTCTAAAAGCGCATTTAGTCATTTCCTAAAATTTGTAATAATCTTGCTTCTAATGATTGCCAAAATTTCGAAGTTCCATTTACAAACTAAAAATGATTCTCATAAAAAAGTAAAATAAATTTTTTAATAATTTTATAAAAATAAATCAGAAAAATAGAATGAATTAATTTCAAATTTTTATAAAATTTTACGATATTTGTCCCGTGTAAAGAAGAGATAAATTGTAGAAAAAATAAAATTTTCATAAAAAAATTGTAATTAATACTTAAATAATATTTTTTAAAATGTGATATAAATTATAAAAAATTATTAGAATTATTTAAATTTAATTATATTTTTTTCCAGTTAACATATTTTACAATAAGCATTTATAAAAAAAATTTGTTAAAATTTAATACCGATCACGTTATTAAATTTATTTATTTTATTGTTAATAGCTGAAAGAGTAAAACAGGCACCACAGAGAGTTCAGAATACACTTAACTGAAGAATATGGATCAACTGTGGATACTGAAAACATTAAAATAAAACAATTAAAATAAAGCAACCCGGTTAAGCAAATTGGTGGAGAGAAAGGGGGGAGGTGGAGCTGCTAGAAGAGGAGGAAGAAGGGGTGAGGGTGGAGTTAGAAGAGAGAACGCCAAAAGAAGGTGTAGAGGAAGGGGAGGGAGAAGGTGATGGTTCGGATAGGAAGAAAAGAAAAAACAGTTTTGAGAGCGAAAATAAAACCGAGTTTATTAAGATCATAATGTGCTCTGTTGGAGATGATGGGACCATAATACACAGACAGCTGTTTGTTGCATTCACATGAAGAAACTCTCTCTAAATCAGATGGATATTAACCGATCCCCGGAGTCCTTGTGATCTTGTTAGAGCCATCCACATACAATCGAACTCTCTGGGGTTTGAAATCTGCTGTGACGAGATATCCAGGAGGCACCACTTGAATTTCAACCTCACTTTTTTCCTCTTTTATCTTCTTCTCTGCTTCTTCTGCACTCTCACCAACCAGCTCAGGCCAACTCGTTTTTCTGCTGCTTCTCTGCTCGTATGACCCTACACCAACCAAACATATTTTCATACACTTTAATTTGATAAATTTCTTTATCAACTTATTTTAATATATTTGGAAAGAGCAAAATTGATACTTACTAGGCAAGGCCTCATTTGGTTGCTCCTGAGGAGGATTTGTTGCTTGTCCGTGTTTTTCCTCTGCCATAAACCCTAAACCGCCGAGCACTTCTGAAATGAAATCAAAGTTCAATGAAGCGTTAACATTTAAGCACTTCTGAACTGATTAGGTTGGCAGTTGGCACCTCTTTTGGACACATTTGGTTAATGAGATGACTCACCTGATTTTCCAATGCCATTTGTCTCAATTTTGTAACGTTGCGTCTTTTAACTTTGGACTTGGGTGCTACGGACGAATAGCTTAGTAGTTCAGTCTAGATAAGATCTCTCTCCAATCCGATGCACATTAAGTTTAAAATATTAAATGTTTATGTTTGATATATTTAAAAAAAAAAATTACTTATATTTTTTAATAAAAGGAATAAAAATTTAAGATTTTGATGAAAATAAAAAATATTATTATCCTTAAAAAAACAACTTTTATGAATCTTTTAATATATTTATAACATTAACAAAGTTAATGATTCTTAAAACATATAATCCTCACGAATAAAAAAAATCTCGTATAACAAATTTAAAAGTAAGTCAAGTAAGCGAGAAATTGAGTAAAATTTATATTTGCTAGGTTCAAATTTAAAAAAACTATATTATATAGTCAATTTGAAATATACAACCTAGAACAGAAGTTCTGAATTATATTTTGTATATAGTATTTAGAAATTATATATACTAAAATTACATAAATATGAGGTTTTAAAAATTCCAAATAATAATTTTTGGTGTAAGTACAAAAGTTTAGAAATAAAACATAAAAAAATAATAAAGTCTGAAAATTTGTTAATGGATATTTTTTATAAAACAAATTACAAGTCGTTAATGATGATTTTTAAAATAATAAAAAAATAAAAAAAAATAAAAAATTATCGATGACGATTCAAAAATCATATTTATATAATTTTGTTAAAAATCTTATATTTTTGTAATTTTAAAAAATTAACTTAAAAACAAAATTTAAAAGGTTTTAAAAGGTACATAATGAGATTTTTTTTAACAATAATGATAATAGTTTCTTTAAAATTTTATTATATACATATAAAATTATAAGTTTAGTGAGAAAGATCTTCTCAATATTTTTAACTCATTGTTCGGCCGCATCGGACCTATCAACTCCAGTAAACTGAGGAGGATTGTTCTTTTTAAACTTAGATAATCCCTGATATTCAAAAGGAAGTACAGTTGAGGTAGTGGCTACATCAGCGGCTTGATTTGCAGCCTATTATTGCTGTGTCACTTCTAGACTTTACCTCACTGTGACTGTCATAGTCTTCATGGTGTGAACCATTTGGTTCACGTCAGCAAGAGGAGGAGGGTTTGCAACAGATCTTCTCAGTCTAACCATCTTAATATACATAATAAAACTAACTTAAATTACTAACATTCAACACATTCAGCAATACCACCACATAGCTATTTTTATAAATTCAGCTTACAATGATATATTCATATTAAGTATATCATAGTAATTTAATCAATTTAGCACTTAGCATAACATCATATCAGCATTCACATAGCATAGCAAACATACTTATCTCAGTAATTATTTACAACTTAGCTTAACAGCCTATTATTCACATAGCATAACTCGCTTATAACTCACCCAAGTATCATATACCAAAATTTTCTACATCTGTCATGTTTAAGAATCGATGTGATCAAGCTCGTTCCCTCACAACCTGATGATTAAAAATTTATGATATATGATTCACAGTTAAGACTCATATGCCTAATATACAACTGACGTCTAACAACCTCACCCCGTAGGTTTACCTAGACCATGCTCTGATACCACCAAAATATCACGACCTTTTTTTATAAGGGACTGAGAACATTATTTCTACACCACTTACTTATTTAAGATGGATAAATAATGGAGAATATAAGTATAAAATTCACTTTTCATTCAAAATAAATAAAGTCCATTACAACAAATATCTAACAGAACAACATAATATTACATTTAGTTCATAATATTCAAAATACACATAAATTATACTACATAACTCCCTCTATATGAAGTTTCAAATATAAGGAAAAAGACTTTAAGGCAAAATTACTCGACTCCAGGCTTATAACACTTCTCCACTAGCCCCTCAATTTATGAACTAGATGCAATACACACGCCCATAACAGCATAGACAGAAATGCAAGGGTGAGCTTACAAAAAAAAATCATATATGTAGAGCAAAATATTACTCACAACAATTGTCTCATGCATTCTCAGCCCATATAATGCACAATATAAAAACGGTTCCAATTAGTTTCACAGCCTAAGTAATCCAGAAGGAACTGAGCCGGTTCGGGAGCGACCCATTCCGGTATCTGGATCTAGACAACACAGCTTAGCATGCTCTATTATTACATGTCTATCCACCTAAACATATAACTCGACTCTATAATGAAGCAAGACATATAACTCAGTATGATGCAGCACAGATAAAATCATATTCTCAATAGTTCAACTAAAACAATTCATAATATTTCAGTCAAATCTTAGCATTTTAAATCAATTAACAGCAGTTACAGCATAGAAAATAGCTTTTATCCAAGAGATCTAACAAAATCATCTCAAAACTTCTTGTAATAGCATACCAAACGTTTCAAACATCGTTTAATAGTTAAAGTAAGCACCCTTTACCTTAGAACAACGATTCACACTAGATCTACCGAATATTAATTGTTTTAAGGCAAGATCCATTGAAGATTTAGCTCTATAACAAAGTTTCTCCTAAGATATCATCAACTATCTATAAGAAAGAGAAGAAGAAAAGAAACAAATGGTAAATCTAACTTCAAACTTATAGAAACTTACTTCAGATCCTTCAGAACAGACGTAGAATCTCATATCTAATGAGAAATCTAAGTTTATGAGGGTTTAATATGAGAGAAAATTGTGGTATATGGCATTGGGTCTCTCTAGAACCCTTGAGAAGTGTAAAAATGAAAATTTCGTGCAAGGCAACCTATTTATAGGCAAAATTTAAAAAAAAAAATTAAATACTTTTCACACTTACTTTATTGTTCATACTGACTCTACTGTTCACCTCTTTTTCTTAAAAATATTTTCAAACTTCATCTAAATCTATTCCAATACCAAATAATCCTTCAGTTAACATTTAACAAGTTCAAAACATTACAGATCACTCAATAATAAATTACAGACCTGACGGTGACAGATAGCTAGCTAATTTCTAGGAAGTCTGTTGTGCAACCGAGTCTATAAAATTTGGCCTTTTTCATTTATCAAAAACATGGATCGATAATACAAAACAATATTCAGCTATACTAACTATTTTTTGTGAGTTAACATCTGGTATCAGAGCTGTAACACCCTTAATTTTATCCCTTTATTTTTTAGAAAAATAGGAATTCTAGTACAGGGTTTCTCGCTCAAGCGAGAAAGATATTTCTGAACTAGGTTTTCTAGAACATTCTCACTCAAGCAAGATAGGATAGAGTTGCACCAATTGTCCTCTCACCCAAGCGAGAAGAGGTCTCGCTCAAATGAGAAGCAGTTCTGCCAGGTGAGATGAAGCTCACCTAGGCGAGGAGTCGCAAAAAAAAATAGGGTACTCTCGGACCTATTCTCACTCAGTTGAGAATACCTTTTGCCTAAATAAGAATATAAAAAAAATCATCATCTGGTTTCCTCGCTCAAGCGAGAAAGAGCTCGTTCAAGCGAGAACACGCAGATTTAAAGGGTATTTAATAAATTCAGCATTGAGAAATTTCAATTCTCATAAAAACCACTTCTCTTTCTCTATTCTCTCTGTTTTCCCCCTTTCCCTTCTCAGAGAAAGCCTCTTATAACTCAAAATCTTTCTTGAATCTGAGCTCCAACATCTATTCCGCTTAAATCCAAGTAAGTCTCTAGAGCTTTGCTCTTAAATCTTGTTTCTATTTCTTTATTTTCTCTCTTTATAATAGTACTTTATCCTACAATATTAGGAAGAACTCTAGTTTTTGGGTAGTATTCTCGGTTAAGACGTGAAACTTCTCTCTAGAGTTCAAGCAAAATATAGTCTCGAGGATTTATTTCCAAGTAAGGGGAGTTAACCTTAAACCCCTATTTGTACATTTAGTTTGAGAAAATGAAAATATCTATTTTGGAAGATAAATCTGAAGTGTTTTCCTAAAAGTATGATATAAAAAGAAATGAATTCATGGATGTGTGAAACCTATATGTAATTTTGAGTAAAATTTTATGGTAATTGAATACAATAACTGGATTGACCTAGGATCATACTTATACTGGATTGTAAAAAAGGGAACTGTTCTGTTAGGACAAATTATTTTGAGGAATGTAATTATATTAAGGTTTTGTTAACATTAGCCCTTAAGGCTAAGGATAAACAGCTAATAATAATAAAATTTTATTAGAAAGAGAAGTATTTATTGTATTTTTATAATTTCAATACAATAATTGTATACTTTTTTCATAAATTTTTTTTATTTGTAGATGCTTAAAGTTAGCCCTAAGGGCTAAGATTAACAAAACCCTTATATTAATTGAATTTCCATTTATAACTTATGATGTTTTGACAAACCCTATTATAAATAATGATTCAAGGTTATGTATAATATTTAATAGATAACCCTATTATACTAATGTTTTATATGAATGTAATTATGTTGATAGGTGAAATGGTAATTGAGTTCCCCAATAAACAGTGTTGTGTAATGCGGGGAACTTACTAACCATTTTGCCCTTTGTATTACTGTAAAAGGATATCTAAATATTTATGAAAGTTTACCTTAAGTACTTTATGCAGTGACAAAATTCTGAAATGTGTTATTTAAAATTTGCTTGTTAAAGTTTATTTTTGCGATTAATTGTTTAATACATTGTTATTATGTATGAGGGGAAGATTATTAGTAAAAAAAAAAAATCACTAATTCTCTAATTGAGGGTTTAAATAGTAGAGTGTTATAAAAAGAAGAAGGCAGAATATTAGGCAGTGTGCTAACTTAAGTCTGGGGAGGCAAACTATAAGCTTCTCGATACAGCGAGAAAATTCTCGTTGTAGCAAGACTGGAACGAAAAAAGGCTGTGAA